GTTACTCGTAAATAATAATACTAATATATAATGTTATACAAATAAAGAAATCTAACTAATAAACTAATATAATAATGCTAATAAAAATATATATAAAAATTAAGAAATAAGGTTAACAATACCTATTGAAATTGTTACAATAAATGGACAATTCTTTAAATCTTCTGGAATTATATGATAAAATTTAACTGGACATGGTTCTGCTTTCTTGTTTATTATTCCTTTAACAATATGATTTCCAGTTTTATGCAAAAATGCTTTAAATAAATAAAATATTTAATAATTTAAATAATTATATTATTTAATATTCAAATTATTAAATAAAAATAAAATTACTTATGGCAAGTATCAGATCTTGTACTATTTGGACGTACCATAAAACATTCATCAATTACATTTGATTCATCTCTCTGAAATTTAAATATTTATATTAAAAATTATTATTAATCTTATATATTATTATTAAATAATTATATAAAACAACTTACTTCAAAATCAATACCATTAGCATGATAAGAATATTCATTAAACATAGTTTTCAAAAATTCCAAATCAATATTATCTGGTATAATCATATATCTATGATCTAATTCTCCCATTTTCCAATTAGTACATCCAATAAATTTTCTTTTTGATGATGTAGAACTAATAATCTTATAATTAAAATAATTTTAAAAAATTAAAAAATAAAATATTATTAAAAATTTAAATTTAAAAACAATATTGTTAAAATTAAAAATATATATATATATATTTAAAATAATTTATTTAAATAAAAATTTTTTAATACATACTTGAGTAAATTCACCTAATTTTGGTTTACCAGTACACTTTATACCATTATTAATATGTCCACATTGATATTCATGGGCCTTAGCATATAAACTAAAAAAAAGAAATAAATTAATTATTATATTATTTTTAAAAAAATTTTTAAAACAATATACTTGCCAGACTGTAGCCTGTTTGTGAAATTCTACATCAGCTTCAAACATTTTTCTAAAAAGAGGTATTGAAAAGTCTACTGATGTATGTCCAACATCTAATTCTTTAGATGCAAATTCACAAACTTTTACACCAAGACATTCCCTTTGCTCCTTTGATACTTTTATACCAGGAAAAAATTCACAATTTTTTATAGTTCTAATAGTGCCATTTCCTCCATATGAATATTGTATATTTTTCATAGAGAAAGCTTCTTTAGCATCAGTTTCATCCCATCCAGATACATTATAGACACTTGCAAAACCAGTTTCTAATGAATTTGGATATTCTTGAAATTCTAAATAGTAACGAATCTCAGATGCTATTAAATTTCTACCAAATTTAGCAATATTTTGAATAGGCCACTATTTAAATAAATAAAAATTAATTTATATTTATTATAATATAAAATATTAAAAATTAAAAATTAATATTTATTATATTATAATATAATATAAAAAAAATAAATATTTAAAAAACAAATTAAAAAAATGCCACATATTATCGGGTTTATCATTTTGTGAAACAATTTAAAAATTCAAAAAAAAGTATAAAAAAGTATAAAAAAGTATAAAAACGTGTGTAAAAATATTTAAAATATTTTCTTTTATGCATTTCTGCATTTAAACTTACTTCTTCTATAAGTTCTTCACATTCTTCATTGAAGAAAGTATAGTTTTCTTCCATTTTTCTCAAAAAAAGACGCGTCTCTAAAAAAAAATTTTATTAAAAAGACCATTTTTCTCAGTAATATAGATTGATAGCTGATCAATTTGTGTTATGTATGAAAACATATCACATAATATTAATTAATCAACTGTACAGCTATACCTGCCACCCAAATTCAAAATCCAAAT